GCCTCAGAGTAACAACTGCCGTCTTCTGGTGAGATCTACCTACGAACCGCTTCTTTAGGCGGCATCGAAATCACTCAAAGTGAAGTCAGCAGAGCAATGCTGGCCCGAGAGCTCAATCTAAACCCAGTGACACTTGGTGTACTTGGTATGGACAGGTTAGGTTTGCGTGTCTACATGCAGGCCGTTGAGATTGATTACATTTTCCGCCAATATGCTGGCCAACAAGGGGCCTTCCAAGTGGAGGAGACAGAAAGCGATTAAAAAGGTGTGCATACTCTCTCCACAGACGCGTATTTCGTTAAGAGAGGAAAGTTACCCAGTTTGGGTACTGGGCCGAGATGTTCACGCTTCGTACCAAGTCCCACCGCCTCTTATCAGCTTAGCCTTTTCCCCGCTCATAAACACGAGTCTGAACCGCAAGATCGTTTTTGGAAGTGTATGGTTGCCAACATGGGAGCTGGCAGAGGATATCGCAAACACAAGATTTCCGAGGGTCGACTGCGGGACGGAAACTAATAAAGGCACCCAAGACACCAACTGATCTATATGCCAGATTAAATGTAGGCAATCTTGGCTGCTCATTGGAAGAGAGAGAAGTAGGTTGGCGTGACTCTTTCACCAAAAGTAAGAGGCCTAATTAGCCTAGACGCGTCTGGCATACAAAACACATAAAGGTACAAAGAAACCCAGAAACACACACTTACACACACACACACACACACACACACACACGAATACGTACAAATATAGAAAAACGATCGAAAAGAAGAGTATGCCAGCAACTTGGATGTGATAAATAAGATAATAATCAAGTAAATACATGAGAATAGATATAGATATAAAGGTTTTATCGCCTGAAAATGAGGCAGACGCCTGAGTGGTAGACCACAGCAACTGATCGGTGTAACTGCGCGAAAAATAGTGATGCGAGAGCTGGTGGGCAATTTGTCGTTTGATAAGTCGTAAGGGCGGTGCTGAAGTAAGGTTGAGAAAAGATAATACCCAGAATTCTGAATCCCACTCAGTCGTCTACTTCACTCAATTTCTGTCAGTCGTTCCCTGTTACTTATTTTTCGTTTATAAGTACGGTTTTAAGATTACCACAAATTAGTTATATGAGATGCATTCAGCCTTTATCGTTTAAGCTGATTAAGGACTGGTAGTTGAGTTTTCCCACTGAATTTCACATTTACTGGTAGACTCGAGCCCGATTTATAACCGAAAAATAAGTGATGTAGTCGATTGATATAAAAAACACAACTTTGCTTTATCGACAATCCTACCAACGAATATGATATGGGAGAATGCCTCTTTAAAATTCACATCTGCCCCGTGAACCAAGGGCACTCGTGGCAGTGTAGCGTAGCAGTTAACATGGCAAAAGTATACGTTGCATCGTCATGGTTCGAGTCATGCCGGGGCCGTTGATAAGACGTATGCGAGATCGAAACTGCAGTCCACCCCGGATGAGAACACCTTTTGGTAAGCAAAACAATGTGAAATGCAAAGTAAACATAAGGTCCACTCATATCCTCATGGGAAAATTCAATTATCAGTCCCGTTATTATTCTAAACAAGATAGGATGGATACATCAAATATATTCTCACGTCTGTCCTTTTTCAAGACCCCAGTTACCCTCTACCCGCCACATCCACCCACTACCTCACACTGTCTGGATTCATTTGCAACAATCGAATATATAAATATGTAAATTGATACATAGTGAAGTATGAAAATATATAAAAGCAGTTAGGATACCGATTTTTGTCGAAATGCGTCACTTAGATAGGATATAAATTCCAAAGTAAAAGGACCAAGAATTATCT